TCATAACTATAGACGCACCCTTAATTCAATTGGTATGTTAGTTGACAAATAAACTGGACCCATTAAGTTATTGTTCACAATAAAACGATCAAAAACACATATTATTCAACAAAAATAATTAATTTATTCTTTATGGTTTCGCCGAATTCTGCCCTTTCAAAATTGCTGGTGTTGCATAACTATAGACGCACTTTTACAAAATTAGAAAAAAATATTTTTTAAAACTTAAATAAAATAAAATAACTTTTATAAATAATGGGTAGGGCCTCCCTTATTTTGAATAAGTTCAAAAATTTTATCCATCACACTGTTGATCAAAATTATTCGCAAGTCTTCATCGATTGACCGCCATTCATCGATAATCACTTCTTGGAAATAAAATAATGTTTGGTATTGGCTGTTTTCTGCATAGACACGACGAGTCAAGATTCCACACATGTTCTCGATCGGATTCTGGTCAGAAATTTTAATATTTTTCGATTTTAACCATACTTGAGTATGGCCACTTTTATGAACTGGTGCGTTGTCCTGCTAAAAAACGAGTCCTTGATTGTTGCTGCTTTCCCAAAATGGCAATAATTTGTCTTCCAAGACTTGAACGTACTCCATTGAATTCATCCGACAACATGGAAATGTCAAATAAAGCATTCCGTGGCTATAAAATGTTCCCAAGGTGGCGGTTACCGAAATATCGTTATTTCTTAATACAATATTTCGGTGGCGGTTCCTTAATGGCCTTGGGAGCATTTTATAGCCATTATTTGACATTTCCATGTTGTCGGATGAATTCAATGGAGTACGTTCAAGTCTTGGAAGACAAATTATTGCAATTTTGGGAAAGCAGGAACAATCAAGGACTCGTTTTTTAGCAGGACAACGCACCAGTTCATAAAAGTGGCCATACTCAAGTATGGTTAAAATCGAAAAATATTAAAATTTCTGACCAGAATCCGATCGAGAACATGTGTGGAATCTTGACTCGTCGTGTCTATGCAGAAAACAGCCAATACCAAACATTATTTTATTTTCAAGAAGTGATTATCGATGAATGGCGGTCAATCGATGAAGATTTGCGAATAATTTTGATCAACAGTGTGATGGCTAAAATTTTTGAACTTCTTCAAAATAAGGGAGGCCCTACCCATAATTTATAATAGTTATTTTATTTTATTTAAGTTTTAAAAAATATTTTTTTCTAATTTTGTAAAAGTGCGTCTATAGTTATGCAACACCAGCAATTTTGAAAGGGCAGAATTCGGCGAAACCATAAAGAATAAATTAATTATTTTTGTTGAATAATATGTGTTTTTGATCGTTTTATTGTGAACAATAACTTAATGGGTCCATTTTATTTGTCAAATTACATACCAATTGAATTAAGGGTGCGTCTATAGTTATGATACGCAGTGTATATTTATAATTTTTTGTGGAGACATTTAGTACCCAATAAGAACCTAATGTAGCAAATTCCGAAAATTGGAGGGTACCCTTATATGAGAGCTTTGCCTAAACGTAAACCGATGTAGCCCATCTTCGAAATTGACCTGCCTGCAAACAAAAGAAATATGCAAAATTTTGGCGATCTATCTCAATTCGTTTAGATGCTAGAGTAATTAAAACAGACAGACAGACAGACGGACATGGTTATATCGTCATAGAATTTTACGCTGATCAAAAATATATATACTTTATAGGGTCGGAAATGATTACTTCGATGAGTTACAAACGGAAAAAAAAATATTTTACCCTCCATACTATGGTGGAGAGTGTAATAATTTTTAAAAGAAACTCTGGATCTTAAAAGAAATCATAATTGTCCAAATACAAATTATTTAATTGACAGTGTTCAACAATCTTGAAATCGGAAAGCGAGCTGTGCCATTATATTTTGAGTGGTATGAAAACCCACACCAATTTACATTTGTTGACATTTGTTATTAGGACCTTCAAATATGAAAAGTTAGAGTTATTAACTCGTGGAGTTACATGTCTACTTTTCAATACAAGCATTAAATTAAAAAAATTAAATTAAATTAAATAATTATTGTGTGTCCATATATGTCCAATTTTAATATCCCTCAATCCATTTTAATTTTCAGTACGTTCAAACGCCTATCACAATTATTATTATTATATAAAGCCATATTCAATTTACCTTATTCGCAAAGGTTTCTGTTACAGTAATATGGGTAGTTGTAAATGTTTCCGACCGGCCTTAATAACTATTTTACTTGTCCGTTTGGTTGCTTTAATAAGGGCTAAAATATGTGGAATTATATGGAATATCTGAACTTGAACCAGTCATAGTCAGCAAATGGTCATGGTTAGGCCCACTTCGAATCTCATTAGATTAGTTTTGTCTGATTTCCATATGAAAGAATTATCATCTTTATTAGGATGTACCACACCATGTAGTGTTTATATAGTTAAATATTTAATAGAATTGTTAGTTTTGTGAACATCCTCGAGTACTCCAAATAAAACATTTCGTCATATTGTAAGCAATTTCGAAAATTCACCCATTTTACCATACAATTTTCTTCTGTTTATAGTTTATACAATATTATATTTATCTATATTTATATTTAATTTAATATTTATATATTTAATTAGTTATTAAATTTAATACACCATTTTTAATTATTTACATTTTAGCAACGACCCACTTCAATTTGAGGAAAGATACAAAAGTGAAATTGACTTAATCACTAAATACCACATTTGGGACACTCATTAAAATCCCAATTCTAAATAAGTATGTTTCTCATTATTTTTAAAATGTTCTGTAATAACCCTCGTAATGGTTTTGGGGTTAACACATTCTACAGAAGTTTACAATTAAGAATCCTTTATATTTAAAGTTTGTGGGTCGTTGATAGTCTGTGTTATGAGCTTATTTGCGAAGAAAAATGTCCTTTCTACAGTGCTCGATATGTACAATCTTCACTCATTTGCTCCTCGCTCTCCGTTTTACTTAGTTTCCATTCCATGGGTTATATGCAAACTAGTTTCCTTTAATACAATAATACTTAAGTGACTATCATAAATCTGGGGTTAGATATTTTAACAACAAACTTAAATTAGCTATTTATGCTAAATTTGAAATAAATTTAAAGTGCGTTACTTCTTCTGTGCCTTCGTCATTTTTACAGTCATATTCATTGCTAGTCCTTTCGCGTGTTGTTCTGTTTAGGGGCGAAGGTATTAAATACAGTTGTTTAGTTTGTCCTCCTTTTGTATGTAAATAAGTCTGTGTGTGTGTATGTTTGCAGGTATTTACATTGCAATATGTTCAATTTTGTTGTTGTTGTTGTTTTTTGCTATTGAATAAAGCCCGCTGGAAAAATGAGGGGGCTATTTACTAGTTCGAAAGGAAAGGCTTTTAACAAGTAATTATTGTTTTAGCTGCTATATTGGTCTGTTTGTTTGTATGTATGTCTGTATATTATTTATTATAGCATATTTTCAATACTCGTCATAATGATAACTCACTAGGGATGTTAATTTAGGGTTTTGCTGTATAATAATAAGTTGCGTTCAAATATGAATACGAGACTTGAAGGGGGAGGGATTATCAGTAGAAGTATTTAGTAGTAGTATTTGGCCTCTTTCTTTTACGTTTAACTATTTTATTTACAAGCTGTTTATTATTGTTTTTATTTCGCTATCGCCCTTTTTTAATGCTATTAATGTGGTTAGTGTAACCTCGTTAATTTGGTCAACAATAATAAATAAAAAAGCTGTTATCCCAACCAATTATCATTTCAGCACGATGTCAGTGTCAACGTCATTTGGTGGCGGCAATCGTCGACGCAATTGGCTTCGCTGTTCCTTCGCTATTACACAGTGTTATATGCATAAATTATCATTGAATTGATGTTTAACAAATGATTTATGAATACAAAATATTTTTGAAATTTAATGCTAAGTTGAATATAAGTGAAAAATAAGTTGGAGGTGGAGCGTGTGTGGGATTTGTGTTTTGTTCTGTGTTGGGGGGGATATGTGAATTTCGAGGGATATGTGTTAGTTTTTCTTTCACGTCATTAAATTTCTAAATATTACACCACAAGATGTTTTTTTAATTCCATATGATAAAACCTTTTTACATCTTTTTTTATATTATAAAAGTGTTAATGTCCCCTTCGTGGGATAAATCTTTAAAATATCGTACAATGAGTGATTATTTCCCAAAGTTGTTCGATCTATATTAGGCATCTCAAATGACATAAAATACTAAAATTGTGATTCCTTTTGCAACCGCACGAAATATTCTAAAATAATAGATATTTTAAAGAGAATTTCTTCATCCACGTTTCGGAATATTCTCCATATAATAATATCTCACAAAATGATCTATTAAATAAAAAATGTTAAATACACAAACCCGACCACTACACATTGTTTCTAGTCAATGGTAGATGGTGGTCCTATTACCTAGTACAGCCTTAGGCAGACCAATCTTCCACCAAGGGGAGATTATAAAAACAAATATTAACAATGATTACCTACATTTCGGAATAAAATTTCCGGCTTTTTAATTAATGTTTTCATTTCGAATAAAATTAAATCTAGTCGATTTAACATTAAAAAAACACACACAAAAAAAAAATATAAATAAACAAATTTTCTATTAGAAATTTAATGCCATATGCTTGATTTATATTCACGCATATATTAATGTAAATGTGTAGCGGAGTGTGTGTTTTGGATATGTCTTATTTATGTATGCGACTGATATGTGTGTACATGTTTTTTTTATTATTATTGTCATTCTTAAGTAAGGGGGTTGTAATTTATTAACCTTTGGTGTTTCATCCCTCGAGACGTTATGCATTTTGCTGTGTTTGCCGGATAATTCAACGTGCTGACTACCATCCATCATTTTGTTAATTTTTCATTCAATGTATTCAAATAAGATAATAGAAAATTGAATTAAATTAGTCTCCTGCTGGTGTTCGATATGATAATCGGATATGGTTGTCATCGACATGACACTTTTACGCTGTCGTCCATCTTAAGAATAGCCACGCAAAACTGCTGCAATATACTATTAAGTATAGGGTGGGTTTAGCTGTCCAGGCTGAAATGTGATAGGGAAATATTAAAAAAAAATGGTTGATTTTTTTCGGAAAAATGTATTTAGAAATTTAAAATAGAGTTATATGCAATTATTTAAAGATAATTTAAAATGCTTTTAATATAATCACCTGAAGCATCTTCCAGATGATTGGGTGGCAGTTCTGTGTATGACATACTTTTTCCTATCGCCAGTAAACCTTTACGTTCCACCGAACTACTGGATGATCCAAAGATTTGTAAATTATTTCCAGTTAATGACGGCACTAAGGCTGTTGCACCCTGCAGAGCAGGTGATGTTGAATCACTCGTACCGAGTAATTCGTTTTTCAGCGAATGTACATCCGTTTGTAATGATTTCAGTGAATCATTACGCACCGGGATAATATTATCTGAAAGGAAGGAAAGGAAAACGAAACGAGACGAAAAATATATTAAATATTTAATGCCATAGAAATGGATGTAATGGTAGTCCAATAAAATTATAAGGAAACTGGTGCATTTAACACTAGAAAGACTGAAGTTTTGTATATACCAATAGTGCCTAAAATCGGTCAAAATTACCTCATTCTGAAAGAATTTTTATTGTGTAAAGAAATTTTTTAACTTATTTTATAATGTTTTTACATTATTTACAATCATACAAAATGTTGTTATTATTTGTTTTCGGTGGGAGGGCTTTCAAGTTTAGCATTTTGAAAAAATGTTCGAAATTTTGAAAAGTGAAATCGACTGGAAATTTCCCGATTTTTGTGTTCGTTTTGTGTTTCTATTCAATAATAAAAGTAGTTTGATTTGATTATGTGAATACGGGGAATGAAAGAGGGGGAAGCAGCTATTATGATTAATAAACGTAATTCTATGTGGTACAAAAAGTCACCAAATTTTAAAAAGCTGTGTCATAATATACACAATTCTTTTTGTATTTGAAATTGAAAAACTGTCAAAATAAACGCCTTCGTCAATCTAGTGTTAAATAATTTACTTACTTTCTCTTGTATCTATTGTAGAATGTGTCACCTGTTTGGAAGGCGTTGATGGAAGTGGAATTTCTGGAAAAAGGTAATTAGAATAAATATTAAATTTATGTTGTTAAACTATTTAATAGAGATATATAATGTAATACATTAACTAGAGATATTGCAACCCTCAAAAACCTGTTATACTAAATTAAGGTCGCTTCGTAAGCAAAACAAAGGCCATGTATATACGTATTTATTTTTTAAAAATATGTTAAAAAGTTCATTTGTCAAACTTACCATAAACTCTTATTGATCCTTCCGTTTCTCCCAGTGAGTTCTTTGATATACATCGATAGTTTCCAAAATCTCCATACTGGAGATTTCTTATTGTCAGTTTCATATGAGCTCTAAATACAAATAGACATAAAATCGTACAATTAAGAATATTCATATGTAAGTAACTATAAAATCTGTGACATAATATGAGACGTACGAAATATGTCAACAGATTTCCTGAGCAATTTACATACAACAACTAATTTTCTAGCGTTCCATTTTACAAAATTGCAATTATCTTGAATGACAGAAACCAACACACAGTGTTAACTTTATAAAACTACATACATTTTTGAAACTTTGTCCATATAAGTTCAAAAGTCTTGTCATTAGTCATTATGTCCTTGTAACACCCTATGTGACACTATTTCAAGTGGCTTTCAAATTAATTACAATGAATTGTTGCTAGTTTTGCGCGGTTTTTAATGAATTTCAATTTAGATAATTGTTATTAAATTCCAACTTCAATAATTGACAACCGTGTTTATTGGCCTGAAATTTATGTTAAACTTTTAACTTTTGAAACTATTTAAAAGTGTTTAAATATTTCCTTAAGAGTTTTCATCTTCTTTTGGCATTTTTGGGACTATGCTATTCAACATTCTTAGTTAGTTGTGCTTCGGCATACCGCCCCTCTGCTATCTTCTCTGTTTCGACGATTTTTCATTTCCTTGTGGATGGAACAAAAACAAAATGGAACTTTTAAAAGTGTCTCTTAAGACATCTTTGACAGTTTGTGTTCTACTCTAGACTATTTGCCATAAATAATGTTTTAACGTTTGTTCGACATATACGATAGATAGTGGATGTAAGGATGAATGTTTGTCACATATGAAAATTGTTCAAGCCGAAATTACAAAGACATAGACGGCTTCTTTTCATGTGTGCTATCAAAGTTTTCAATTCACATTTGATGTATATTGTTTCTGTTGTTCTTGTTACACTTACATACTTATAAAACTCATCACTGGAAGAGAGATGGAGTAAAACAGTTCATTGAATTAATACACAGAAGAAGGACTAGTGCCTACAGATGAAGATCCTATACTATCTGTAAAATACGTGATATACAATATTTAACAGCAGAAGCTTTGTTGGAAATCTGTGGGAATCCGGTGGAAAGTTTAACGTCTGTAGAGGACATACATAAACCACTTTTAAATAAATAATGTTTTATATATGGGAACATCATTGAAAATCAGTGGAAAGTATTTTGATTATAGAAGATCTGAAGTGTTACTTCATCAGAAGTCAATATAAGATCGGAAGGTATACTATTTTTAGAACGCCTGTGGAAGGTCTTATTGAAGATCTCAAAATTTTCTTATATATTGGAAAGCTTTTGACCCCTAAACAAGACCTGCAAAAAATATATATAAATAGATAACCTATAATTGAAATGTGGAAAATATTCTATATATGGAAGCCTTGTTAAATGTATACTATTAATAGAATATATGAATGTCTTCAATATATTGAAGAACAGTATAAATCTTATATTTAAAAAGGAGGTATTTCATCTATAGAAAATCTAATGAATAGTTTACTCTATTGAAAAAAAAAAAAATGTGTAAAGTCTTCTTTCTTTTGAAGACATAAAGAAGGCCTTCCGTTTACAAACATCTTTAGAAGGTCGCAATGAATGAAGTCTTTGTAGATGGTTTTAAATCTGTATATAAAATCTTCTCTGTAGAAGTTTTTCTCTCTATTGATATCCTGTAGAAAGTGTTCATTCTTAATAGTGTCATATAATGTTCCTATGTAATACGTATAGGCAGTCTTCTAGTAATTCCATACATGTAAAAGAACTTTTATCGACAAGAAACCAATAGGAGGTCTACTATTATTAATAATAATAATAATAATAAACACTTGTGTGAGTAGAAGACTTGTAGAAGATCTTCTGTCCACAGAATATCTTTAGAAAATATTCTTACAATATAAGGGCTGTATAAGGACTTCGGTCTATATAATAACGATAAAAGATTGATATTTCTATTCATGTCCCGCCTTTAAAGGACATGTATGTCTCGTTGCGTAGAAGGCCTGTAGAAGACCTTCATCTGTAAAAAATCTATCCTGCTTATAAAAAAATTAAACATTTTTCGTCTATAAATGTATTAAACAGGTCACGTAGAAGGAATGTTTTCTATTATATTTCTTTCTTCCTTTCTGTATATTATCGGCTATAATTCAAACGGCCAAAGGCTGTACACTATTCAAGCATCCTTCATACAAACACACTTCCAAACACTTGGGACAAGTTTTGTGAACTTTTGATAAAATGACTTTTGTTTATTAGTTTAAAATCCATTTGAGAATATTAGCAACTAATGTACGTACGTATGTATGTGTGCTGACTTAAGCCATATTTAATATTTTGCCTTTTGTGCTGTAGTTATATATGACTTGATGTCTGTATGTCTTCTCATTTATCTGTCACACACATGTCATACAATCCCAACTTAACTATGAACCATACTTTTGAATAGTAAATAGAAATGATTGTGACTTACCTGTAGGAATTCTCTGTATAGTCGGTTTTATACTTCTTACTTGGCAATACCATAACTGAATTGTAAACCCAATAGATTATGGCTCTGTGTGGTTGTATGGATGGGCGGCAAAGAGCAAAGGTTCGGGTTGGAAAAATGAAAACGAACACAAAATTGTTAAATAATTAAAAATTTCCCCTTCGTATCTACTGCTGTTTGTCTGTCTTCCTGCAGTCTCTAGACACCACAATAGACTTAATAAATGTCAACTTACTTGGGATGTGCTTCCGTATGGCAATCAATGGTAACATCAGTGCCAGCTGGAGCTCCAACAAGTTGATTTGGAACCCAAATCATTGGAGAAACTATTATTGCCAAAGGTGTGTTAAGCCACAGTATTGATGATGGTAAAGGAAGAGCAATAATAAATTTGATAGAAAGGCAAAAAAGAAAACATTATAAACAGCTTGTCTAGTAGTGATGCTGTGTTTAGTTAGCAAAGGTGAGACTTCGACAGATACCAAAGCGTGGAAGTGGAAAATATAAAATCCCTTAAAAGTATTTAATTTCATGGAAAATAAAAAAAAAATCTTCAATATTTACGTGCAAAGCTTAAAATGGCTTTGTTTACAACAAACAGAAGAAATGAAAACACGAAAAAGCAACAAAATGTTGCGGTGTCTGAAAAACAGAGCAACAACAATCACGTGTATTGAATTACCAATTAGGTATATACTATTTTTGTCTTTTTTTTTGTAATTTACAAACGATAACACCTCGTAATTTTCTACCCATGTTTCTGCAAAATATCCCTCCAAAATACTTTAATACTCTCGTAAGTTTGAGGTAAGCGTCAACCAAATACTGTGGCTACGTTCTCAATATTTTCCGGCTGTTACTTTGTTGTGGCAAACCAACACCTTGAAAGAAAATGAAGTGTAATTTTTCGTATGATTTTTAGTACGTGACTCTTGTTTCAAATCCAGGATTTTGAAACAATATTGTACCTCAAAACATTGTAAAATAATTGATAATTTGGGTTTGTTTTAAAGTGGGCGGTAATAACGTTACCCAAATGTAAATAATTTCACATAAGTATTCCTATGCGTACATCAGATATCAATGTTAGGAGCAAAATGATGAAGTTTCACCGATTTTCTCCTAGGGGGTTATTAGTTACCGAAGGCCTTCCGCAACAAATATTTTTCCAGTCGAAATCATACTAAATAGGTGATTGGTGTCGGTTTTTAGCCAAAAACTATTGTTAGGGTAGCCCAAGTATTGAGGTGAAACAAGGAGTTTTAAAAAGACTCTAATTGGTTATTTTTCTGAAATTAAATTGAAGCATTACAATTGTCAGTAACTCGACTAAAATGTCTTATTTTACTAAAAACAGCCATGTTGCATCAATCTTTTTGGAAATGTGCCATAAAAAATGTTATATTTAATTGTACCAAATTTCGTTTAGAAAATGTGACTAAAATACAGACTACCGTTTGTCTATAATAGTCTATAAATTTCAATATTATCGGGTCGCGGGCAATGTGTCTTAAAATTTAACATTGCTTAACAATGGTCAGCATTGTTAAGTTCGGACGGGTTGATATTTTTATACAATCTACCAAGAGGTAGGGACGCATAATTGGGCCTTATGTCAAAATATGGACTCTGGAGGATTCATCTGTGAAAACGAAATACAATTTTAGGCACAGAAATTTACAGGAACCATTTTTTATGAATTTTATACTGAAGGGAATATATTCGCATGTCTTTGTATAACCTACGGAAGTGTGGTTCAAAGAAATATATATTTTTCTTCAAATATCGATAGAAAATTCGGATTTTCTGTAATCCACATTCCGATGCGGACAGTTAACTTGAATACAAAGAATGACAATATCAAGTTGTTGTTATGTCGACCCAATTTAATACCCCTACAAAAAGTAGAATTCGCATAGATGTATTTAAATGTAGGCACCACCCACTTCCTGAGGAGAGGGACTTATATATATATGCACACTGCGGAAAAGAAGGACTTAATTACAAAAAGAAAACAGAATTCATTTTCTTATGCTTTAAGTTTAATGTCCGTCTGTGTTGAGCACGAGACCAGCCGGCCGATTTAATTCATTGTTTGTCCAGAATAATATTTGATTATTAAAACTAATTTAAATCCGGAGATGGAGTCTATAGGGCATCCTCTTCTGGTCAACTCGTTGATAATAACATATACTATTTATACAACGAATAACAAACCCTGTGTATAATTCCCTAGACCTCCACAAACTATAGACTATGGATATATATCTGTCGCAAACACTGAAACTTTTTTTGCTTCTTTTCACTCTTCCATATGTCAAATAGACAAATGAATAAATCACCATTGAAAGGATATTTGAAAGACCACCACAAGTTTAAAGTCATTAATCTATTACTTACACTCGACATCCAGTATTATACGCTTTGATACCGAAGGTGGTACACCATTGGTGGCAATGCATAGATAGGCACCCATTTCGTTACGACTTACTTTGGTCAGTGGCAGTACTTCACCGTCGTAGACCAAAACTGTGTGTGGCAGCAGCAGGAGAAGCGAGGGCAACAACATTTTTGGCAATACAATATTTGCATGGGGTATAACAAAGGATAAGACCAGAGAAGGGCATAGCAGTAACGAAAACAACAGCGACATAAAGAAATCCGACAATATACCGGACATTCATTGATGATAGTTTGCCAGGACAACAATTTTCATTCCGTTGTTCAGAAGTTTTTTTTGTGTTTTTGGAAGGGTTTTTGTAATGTTGCAAAAACAACAACACGACGAAGAGCAGCATGACAACCAACAACAACATCAGCAGCAGCAATGATAAAGCAACATGTAAATTGATGGCATATTGTGTCGTTTTGAAGTGGAGGAGGAGAAGAAGAAGAGAGGGATTTGTTTGGACGAAGGATCCAATACCAAAACACATCCGTGGTAACGACGATGGCGATGAGAGACGGAGAAGATGTCATTGCAGTCGTGGTGCAATGGCATGAGATGAATGTGTGCATTGTTGTGTAATAGATTCATCCATCCAGCATGGCAGCAGTACCATATTCCATGAGAGAGATTACAGAGATTGTGTTGTAGTCGATTTTTTGTCGTCGTCGTTGTTTTTGTGCGAGCCATTGTTTAGGTTCAAAAGGTTGATGTAGGTATGGTTATCAATTCCAACAGAGATTAAATAGACAGTTTAAGAGTCAACAAGAGAATCGAAAAAGAAACAAGAACATACACAAAAAAGGACATAAGGTTAGGGGGTTTGATTATTTGTTTTGGTTGTAGCAGGGATTATAGTTGAATTACCTTTCTTTTTCTTTTCGACGGCTATTTCTTCGCCATCTTCTCGCCGCCATATTATTTTTGGAGCCGGAAAGCCATCTGCTCTACAAGTCATGTTGATATTTTGGTTTTCCCTTACGGCCACTGAGGAAGGAGTGCTCTCAATGTCCAATATATTGGGTGGCACTGCAAACAAAAGTGGAGACACACAGAAAAAATGTACAGGCGAATAAGAAAGGCACTTTTGCAAATATATATATATATATATATATATATAGATCTAGGTACTTACCCACTACCTGGAGATAGCCCACTTGACTTATCATGGGATTCGTATTCACCTGGCACATGTAGTAACCACGATCGTCCTGGTGTGCCTGATTCACATGCAGCAGCCATGTGTTGGCATTGTCGTAGGTAATGCTGTAACGTGGTATTCTTGAGATAACATGGCGATGTATTGTCAAAATCATTTGTCTGTCAATATGTATCCAAGCAACCTGCCAATGACACAGCAAGGAAGGAAACAAAGAAAAGAGACAGAAAGAACAAAAAAAACTATTTTCAATATGTTTCCAGACACAAAAGATGCCAACGTAAGATAAAAGTTTTCTTTGCAATACCAGGAATGCAAATTGTCAAGTGAACATTAAACAAGAAACAAATATTCTACAAAGATATTTATATTGCCCTCATTCAGTATTGATATAGGGAATCTAGGTGTTCTTTGTATTGTGTAATAGTTCAGGATAAATAAGTAAGGACAAAAAAACTATTTCCAACATTGCTTGATTCAAAGAGTTGTGAAGAATAGCATAACCAAAAATCTGGAGTGTTAAAAGAACACAAAGTCAACATGGGAATACAAATTGGAATATGTTTACAAATGGGTTTAAATAAATACTACCCCAATTCTTTTGAAGAAGTTTATTACAAAAAGGTGTTTTCTTTCTACTTCAGTGTCCAAAAATTTATAAATTTATATAATATCGTGCATTAATGGAGAAATTATAATGTTTTGTATTGTAAACCCAAATGGCTTATTTAAACCTATGCTCCAATCCGATCATTTGGAGTCAATGTGGCGAATTTCTTCAGGTATTGCCCTACATCACGCAGTATACAGGGGATTGTCAATTGTTAATACCGCCAGTAGCAGATTTAATATATGTCTCTTTGACTATTTTAATTGAACTACGAACTACAATTATGATCTGAAACAAATTTACTTATGGTTAGTAAAACATGTCCTGAGGGGCCAGTGTGATATAATCATTATTAAAACTAAAAAAAAATTCAAAATGAAGGCAATTCTGTTGTCAACTTTGTACCTTATTACCAACGGTACTTGGTTTATATAATTTTGAAACTAAATATTCTAAGAATAATATGATGATTAATTTTGAGGATAGGGTTCTTTTGGATATAATCGGTTCAAATTAAATTCCACAATAGTTAAACTAAGTCACAAAGTGTGTCTGACGTGTGTGAAATTGTGTTGAAATCTGTTCAGATTTAGATATAGCTTCCATATATATTTTCGTTCGATTTTAACCAAATAGTTCACAAAACCAAAAGTTTGACCGTAGGACCCCAAATTGTGCACAAAGTTCTGAAGTTGGTATGATATGATTGAGATTAAATTTTTCACAGATTTTAGCATGGCATGGGTGTGGATTGATTTAAGTTGGTTCATATACTGTCCTTACCGGTTTTAATATGGCGAAGTCTATCGAGATTTCAGCAAAAGTCTAATTATTTACTTATTTTCACATAAACATTATATGTAACTGGTCTCGTCGTAACTGGTCTTCACACAATATATATAAAATTAAATACAGCTCTAATGTAATGGTATATAAAGACTAATGACTGTTTGTGATAACATAGGGTTTAATAAGGTTTGAAAAAAGAGTGCCTTAAAAAAATCCTTTTAAACAATTCGGATTTAATTTTGATATGTTCGACCGTCCTGGCTTTTGCGCATATCGTAATAATCCTTACAAATGAAGAAATCTCCAGATGGAGACTATGGAGGGTCAGTAATTTTGTACATTGAAATATTTGCATCGATCATGGATCGAGGGCGATTTCGCTACATCTTTTTAAAGATGATTTAGTTTCTAGATTAATTATTTGTTCATTATGACTTTTTAGACCTTTTAAAGTTATCCTCTAGCTTATAATAAATAATTTAAAATCCCTCAAAAATATATTTATATTTTCCATATTATACCAAACAACCCCTTTTAATAGTTGCAATAATTCTTCCCTTGTATAGATTTATTGCTTAGGGTTCTACATATTTTCAAAAGGCAAAAAAGTTAAACAAACGCTTGTCTGTCTGCCTGTATGTTTGGATGATTTTAGCCTTGTTTTACAATAAACAAATGATAGGATAATTCATTTTGATGACTGGCATATTGCAGAGGTCATTAAACTAACGTTTGTAATTCATGCGAAAGTAGCCCTTTTTGCAGCCCGAGATGGATATTTGCTGTAATGGCTTGACTCCTTTTGGCTTCTTACCTTATAGCCGCCCAAATGCTCCACCACACAGGGTAAATTGGCATCACGTCCCACAGCCACTGTTACATTTGGTATTGGTTGTGCAAAACGAGGTTCATCCATCATAACTGGAAATAAATAAATGAAAACAAGCATAAGACAAAGAATAAAAAGAGGATGGCTAAATTTTATGAGTAGCAAAGCGAAAGAAAAGCAAATGAGAAAAAACTAGAAGATGTAATTAATGTTGAGAATGTACGTCGTGTATGGTCATCTTTGTGGAAAACAAACACGTTCCAAATTATATTAATATTAAGATGTAAGCCTTATCTATGGGCATCCTCTGGTGTAATGAATAACATAATACTCCAGAAAATCCAAATGTCATACTAATTCCATTAAAGGTCTCATTGCAAAAAAGTGTGTGGTGTTTTATTGAAATTTGTAATAAATATATTGTTGTCATAATGTAATTGAAATTTCATTTCCAGTTACCATAATAACGTAATGATGTGTTAATAGGATGATAATTGATATTAAAAGAACAAGACTATGTTAGGCTGACGTTAGTAGGAAGAGGGTGGTAAAAATAATATTTTCAGGCTTTTTGTTATTTGAATTTTGCCTTGTAAGGGCAGTGATCATTTGAAAGTAATTTTTAAGTGATTATTTATACTCTTTCGAGTCGAGCTTGATGATCTAAGTTTTGCAATGAAAAGGAAAGCCAGGAGAAGAACCTACGTACCCACCATTATGCGACGCGTTTCGCCGTTGGTAAAGCGGCTCATCAGGCATATTGGGCTATGTGGCTTTACAAAGGTCGTACGTTGATAACTTGTATTTATTCCGCCCTGATGCGAAACTTGCATATGCGAATTAAATTCAAATTTGTCAAAGTTCGACATTTGTCTTCATTCTAGGAACAGTCCTTTTCAAAGCTGATTTTTGTTGTAGCAATGGATAATTAATCCTCACACCTACAATTGCTTCCATGGGATACACATGTTTTTGTACAAAATTTCTAAAATGGGTAGGAAACGTTATATGGGGGCTTCGTCTAACCATGAAACATTATTATATTTTTTTATTTTGTAATTTATTTATTTTTATATATTATTATGATACAATCATTTTATGTAAAGCCTCAGCGCCAAGATGGCATTATTGAGGCAGTTGGCAACTTTTTAAAACATTTCAATGTATATTTACAATTAAATAATTCATATTTCAATAGTAATAATCATAATATATATTTAATTTACAACAAAAGTGTTTCCATCAGACTGCACAAGTAGTTTTTACATGCGGGTTTAAATTTTGATAATGTTTGTGAAGATTTTATATATCCAGGCAACTCATTAAATTTCTTTGTCCCTGTATAGTCAATTCTTTGTTTCGTTTTCTCTAATCTACATTTTGATATTCTCAAATTGCTACAATTGCGTGTTTGGATATTATTTTGGTTTTGTTCTAATATAATCGTTTGGTGACCAATATTATTGATATTTTTGAAAACATAAATTAATGTTTGGTAGATGTGTAAACCATGTATTGGAAATATATTTGATGAATAGTTTTTAAACAATGAAGTGGTAGAATATGCATTTGGCAGTTTGTAAACAATTTTTAATGCTTTATTTTGCATTCTTTGCAAAGATTTCAATGCTATATTTGATTTATTATAAGCATATATTATTGCCATATAATTCAAATGTGATTGTATTAAGGAATTGAATATCATTAGTTTTGTTGTTTGATTTAATTTACTTTGCATTTTGTACAAAATACCGACTGCAGGTGCTATTTTCTTCTTAAGTTCTTCAATATGCACGTCCCAACATAAATTACTCTGAAGATGTATTCCTAAAAACTTCACATATACTTTTACCATCCACATATACGCAAAATTTCTCTGCATCTGGTCTTAATGCTTGCGGTCTAAATCTAATAATTTGAGTTTTTTTAGGGTTTAGTAATAAACGGTTTAATCGCGAAAATTCAACTATTAAAGCAGCATCTCGTTCCATCCTAACTTTCAACTCTATCTCATCTGCATACATAATAAGTTTTCCAAAGAGACAAAGGTTTTGTATATCATTCATATAAATGGAAAACAGCAAGGGACCTAGACCACTTCCCTGTGGAACCCCAACATTTATTGAACCCAAATAACTTTTTTCGCCATGAATTTCAACATATTGTTTTCTGTTTTTTAAATAGCTTTTAAACAATTCAATTTCCTTTCCTTGAATACCATAATATCTCATTTTATGTAACATTATATCGTGATCAACGAGATCAAATGCCTTCGTAAGGTCAAAAAATATTGCAGATACACCATTGAACCCCTTATCAAGTCCACTACAAATTGTGTGTGTCAAATTTACAACAGCATCTGATGTTCCACAACCTGTTCGAAAACCAAACTGAAATTTATACATTAATTGGTTGTTTTCTAAAAATGTTTGCAGCTTATTAAATAGAATTTTTTCTATGATTTTGTCGATTACCGATAAAACTGCGACCGGTCTAAATTTTTCCACTGATGTGACACTTTTTTCTTTTGGGATTGGTACAATTTTATGTATTTTTAATGCATCAGGATAAATTGAAGTCGAATTCATCGCATTAAATATATGAACCAAAATCGGTGATAGCTCTTGTGAACAATTTTTGACCAATTTTGGTGAAATGTTGTCATATCCAGGACTTTTAGAGCTGTCCATTTGGGATATAATGGATAAAATATCTGACAGATTTATGTTATCTATTCTAAATCGAACATTTACCCTAGGCAATGTCTGTAAAGCATTTACTGAATGACATGGTAGTTGCTCAATTTGTGATCTTAGTTCAGATGCAATGTTAAGAAAATAATTATTAAATAGATTCGCTTTATCTTTATGGTTAGTTATATAATTTCCATGCTCATCCTTCAAAACAATATCATTATTAACGGATTTACCAATAGATTCATTAATAAATTTCCAACATTTTTTGGGATTATTCCCAATTTTCTTTAAATTATCTTCATAAAAGTTCTCTCTACAAATCCTACTGGCAACTTTTATAATTCGACTTAAGCGTTTTAGAGTATTTTCAAGTTTATCATTTTTATTTTTTAACCTTCGCCGTCTTTTTAACAAGTTTTTCTTTAGTAGTAAAAGTTTTTGAAGATTTATATTTATCCAAGGGGAAATTTTAAATTGTAATTGTGTACTACTTTTTTCATCAACTGTAGAACCTTTTATAGCAGTATGAACACACGATATCAACCCTTCAGTCATAATACACACATCTGAATTAGAATAGCTATTTGGCAATATGTTTTGTAAAATGGTTTTAGCCTTTTGGTAATCACAATACTTTTTTAGAGTCTCCAACTTGTCGTTACCACAATTTTTAAATTTTAAAGTACATAAAAGTAGGTTATGATCAGAAAGATCGCATTCCACTGAATAAACAGATAAGTATTCAGATATATTACTAAAGATATGATCAATGCATGATCCACTTTCTGGTCGTGTTATCAAACTGTGAACATTGCTACAATCATAATTTTCACACAATGTTTGCAAGTCTAGAAAACGAGAGTTTTGCAACAAATCAATATTCGAATCTCCAAGTAATATTATTGGATTGTGAGCTTGTACATTTAAAATATTTTCCAAAATATCAATAAAGTTTGAGATATAACATTTCTGTGAACGATAAAAAGATACCAATTTCATAGGTTTATTTCTTATTTTAAAATTGTGTATGGTAAGAGCTACAATATCTACAAAATGTTCACTTTTGCAAACATCTACAGTGAATTCAAAACGATTATTTAGATATATTGTCGTACCTCCATAATTATCATCCCTGCAGCAATGCACACTTTTAAACCCTGGAATGGAATATAATTGAATGATATTTTTTTGAAACCATGTTTCTTGAATTGCTATAATATCAGGCAATTTGTTGAATGATGATAGCAAGCATTTAAACTTATTAAATTTATCAATTGAGGAAACACTTCTGATGTTAATACTTATAATATGAAAAGCATAATCATTTAATTCAGAAGTATATTTTATAAAATTTGAAAATTTTTTAAAGTATTGATTTTTATCCATGAAAAAAAATATATATATAATAAATTAATTATGATCTCGGAATTTTTAAACTTTATTTATGAAGGAGATTCATACGCAGCACCATCACAATCATCACTGGAATCCACATCATCCATTTCTCTGTTGCGTACCATAGACCTTCGATTGTAATGCTTATTTGTTGTTGCCTCCATTAGAATCTGGTCAATATCTTCTTCGCATTTAATGAAAATACTCCTCGAAATTTCACTTTTTTTACAAAATACCTTCCCATCTCTGGCATAAATATACTGGAAGCCAATAGATTTCAATGATTTGGCATAATGTAAAAGATTCAATGGATCTTTACTCAGGTAATCATTTAGAAATACATTTTTTGTTTCTTCATTTTCTCTTAGTTTGGCTTTAGATTTCATCAACTGATCTTTATGACCCCTATCAGCAAACTTCACAACAATGGTTTTGTTTTTGTTTCTCTTCTCCTTGTTTCTATTTCCAACAAAGTAAGCCGTTTCTACAGCATTCTCTTCTAAATTAACACCAATACTTTTCGAAAACGACAACACAGCATCAACAGCATTGACATCGCTCTCCACTTTTAATCCGTGTATGACACAATCTTTTTTTACGCGTTCATCATGAAGAATTTTTACGGAATATTTAAGGGATTTTATTTCAGTTTTCAATTCTTTATTCTCCTTTTCAATGGCAGTTATTTTTTTCTTATTCCCTGCTACATCCTTAAAAACTTCATCAAATTTGGCTGACATAAAATTTATTGATTCAGTCAGCTGATCAAGTTTCTCTAGTTTTTCTAGTTTCTTTAGTTCAGTTTTTATTGTGTTTAGTTCTTTTGTTATTTCATTTCCACCTTCTTCACAGCATGCATTACAGCTGAATAGCTCACTCTCATTTTTTATTAGTCTCTCAAATTCTCTCTTTGTTAAGCGCGTACAACGAACGTGATAATTGTTTTTGCATATATCGCACTGTATGTAATCATCACAATCTTCTTTGATCTCATTTTTGCACTTCTGACAAATCATTTTTTTATTGCAAATAATGCGTCGAGATGAAGCTTTCGGCATATTTATTTTATTTATTTCCTGATACCAGAAGTTTTTTCTTTCACAAAACACTGTCTTTCTTCTTTTTTATGTTTGTTTATTTATGAAAATATAATATTTTTTAAGAGCGATTTAAAAGTGACGAAAAAATGACGTCTATGCGTAGGGGTTGCCAACTCAACTTGAATGAATGAGCCTTTTACTTTCTAGTCACTCGAAAACAATTTTTCTGTAAATATGATTTTCAATAATGGACAGCACGGTTTATGTGGAATATACTAAAACGTTGACGGATATACCAAATTTCCAAGACAATATTGCGATCTTTGTGGTGATTTCCAACGAATATTGCACATAATTACAAATTGGTTGGGAAATTCGGTTAATTCACAAAAAACTTTCTATATGATTGTGTTTATATATGTGTAAAAGAAGTGTATAATTGTTGTATTCGTCCACCATTTTAACTTTTATTATTATTTTAATTATTACACTTAAAAACTAAACAATTATAAAACATTTCAATACAATTTCCATTCAATGGCATTATAGTGTAGTGGCGAACCACTTATAATCGCACGTTGATCAATTTGTTATTCTCCCTGAGATTGTAAAACCTTGAATATGCAAAAAAAAAAAAAAAAAAAAAAAAACAACACAGCAGACCCATCTCATAGCATCCTCAAAATTCCCCATGGTGCTAAACCAAAACAACAACAGAGTTTAAACCATGCAACCCTCCCTCCACCAACACCAACACCCAACACATATCATGTTATCCAACATTGGAGATATTTCCATTTTGCAAAGTAACACCAAACGAAACACCACCGAAATCCCACATTGTGGATAAATTTGTCTGTGGCAAAACCACAAATCACCAATTAAATATTTATACTTCAATCTACTCAGTGAGTATCGAAAATATAAAGGAATTTGTAATAAAAAACGTAGTATATGAACAACAACACTCACGTTCACACAAAACCACAACAGAATTTGGTTGTTGTTGCGATTTTTTTTTTTTTTCTTATTTTGTTTTTCAGTTTTATTACATCTATTTTTTTTAACAAAAAATAAAGAAATGTTAACTCATCAGAAGTTACGATGCTGCAAGGCAACACACAACATGTGTGTCTGTTTAGATTCTACTATATATGGACGTATACACATATATGTATGTACATTATTGGGAGTTTATATTTCACTGTGTGAAGGAGTGTTCAAAAGATTATTTAAAATCTTCGGTGGTTTTGTTGAAAATTATATACTGCATATACGATTTTAAAAACTTAAACGTAATTTGTCAACTCGAAATATTTACGAAAGAATTTTGAAATATTAAACATACATCTCAACTTCTCCTTGGATGCTTGGTGTTGACAAAGTCATTCTGGATTTTTGGAGTGCCAAAAAATATATATGGGCAATATTGCCAATTTTTAACATAGCTGAAGCGGAGGTTCATCCCTTTATAACTCGGGAATTACTTAAGTATATGAAAAAAGTAAATAGTTTTGGGTTAATTGATCTGTCGTTGCAAACTGTTGATGATATTGACCTCGAAACTTTATTTTGGTGGAAGCTGTGTGTAAATGTGTAAAAGCAGGTTAAGGCGAACGAGTTTTATTATGTTCTCTATCGATTTGTGATTAAGCCAACAAAATGGGGGCTACGCCCCTTATGTATCATTCTTCAAAATTTTAACTGCATCTACCTTTAAATGATGCTGACATTTGGAGGCTCGATTTTGAGTGTTTTTTTTTTTTTAATTTTACTTCTAGCCTTAATACACAAACAGGAATTTCTAAAAATCGATTACAAGATTATTGTAGTCGCGAATCTGAGTAATTTGATATATATTTTGTGTATGTATTATGCATACACAGAGTAATACTCATCCGAAGGTGGACATTTTGTGCGATAAAATCTGTCAACTGAATGATATGGGTACCCGCGATCAGTAAGGTTTCTTTAAGTTTCTTCTTCGTGAAAATCCGTACACTAGAACTGGCCTTCCAAAAACACGAAATTTGGCAAAAAAATTTTCTGAAAATATCGCGGATTTAATTGCATTTTCTGTGGATCATTTCCGCTTCAACAAATTATCTGATACGGATTTTGATCTTTTTCGAAAACAGCACTTTAAAAACTTCAGCCGAAAGAGAGATGTACCCAAGTTATCTCAAAAATAGAGTTACCTGGGTCATCCCTGGTTCTTAATGGACCGCATTGAAATAGGTATAGATCGATGTATTTTTTAGGGTGGACACCGAAATCGGATGCGCTTTAATGACATATGGAGTTTTCGAATATTATTCGCGTTTTACGACTTTTTTTGTACTTCAATGCAACGTGTAGTACATCTTAGCCGTTAAATGAAATTTCGCAAAATATATATGTGTATTGGAAGATAAACTTCAGTACTTCGTGGAAACCGCAAATTCAGTATAATTTGCAACTTTTTGATGTCCATACCACACCAGACAGTCATATGTCATTATTGGACGGATACACATTTTATACAGCAACAACTTGTTTTTGAGATCTAATTTAGATTTACGGCACAAAAGGGGATATAGCGCGCGACCACACTTAATGGCTTTTTCTAATTGTGTTATAAAATGATCTCTAAAGTTGAGATCTTTGTATAATTTGATTCCAAGATGCATTCGTAGGGTTGTAGGCAGCTAAACCCCGTTATTTTGATTTTTTTTTTGTGGAAAATTTTCAATATTGATCATTGGTCCTGGTCGAATTTTCCATCCAGGCTAACTACATGAAAGTGAGATACAAATCCTCTGGTTAGGCACTTGGAGGTATATTGAATGCGCGTCATTATGAACACTGTGCGACAGGCTTAGCATAAAGGTGCAATTATTTACTTTTTGAAACAACTCTTAGTAGTCGAAAATGCCTGTGTTCTAAAAGACACTTGAAGTCTGACACCCATATTTTGATTAAACACAATTTTATATCCCACACCCCCTTAAAGGGTATTAAGTCTTTGGTCATACGTCCACATTTGGTCCACACAAGAATGTCGAAATTGTGTTGAAAATTAATTGTATAATATCAGACAAGCAGAGCATTCGATTTAAACTAAACTTTGCACAACCTAATATCTGATGATTGGACCCGTCGGCCCACTACTTCCGCCTCCCCAAAATGCAAAATGTTGAATATTTGTTAATCCAATATCAAGCTAATATATATTTTGGAATTTCATCCAAATATAGCAAATACTAATAATTTTAACAAACCTAGATTAACTTCGAAGATGGGAACCGTCGGCCAACATTTTTAAACATGTAAAATTAATTTGAAGCGGTTTGAATAACCGATTTGATTCATATTGATTTGATTCGCACATGGTAATATTTTCCAAACCTACATTAAATCCCAATATGGGGTCTATAAAGCAACGTCTTCAGGTACCTATCCACAACTCAACGCAAGAAAATGGACATTGTTCGCCAAATAACGTACGTTTGTTGGATTGCCACAAATATTTTGCATTTTCTTGACGTACTGAAGAGTCTAGAATGACGTATTTTGGTCTGATGTAAATAATAAATATTTATATAATATATATTTATAATAAATAATTTTAAATTATTACAATAATTGTACTCACCATGTGTAACGAGATTTGTTAGGTAGATTAAAAACATAACCTTACGATTTGTAAATCGACTTGGAAATATATTCAGCGCTATGAGAAGCACTTTAATAACTGTCATTAGGAATATCATGTTGTTGTTTTTATTAGTGTTGCTGCTTCGTAATCTATACTTCCAGTTCTTTTTGGCGGTGGGTAATTAAAGACTGGCGAAATCTCCACTTTACTCACAAAACTTAAAAATACTCCAAAATATACATTCGTATTTGAGTTTGGAATTTAAATCACATTAAATGAAGTGAATGTGTTATTAAAACACTTGTCGTTATCGTCCTCGGTCTTCTTTTGGTTTGGCAATTTTTTCGTTGTATTGAAACTGCATTAAAATCTCACGGGATGCCAGTGGGTCGATTGTGTTGGTAGAGATATTTATTTATTATTTATTTTGTTTTTCGATTGGTCGGTCGTTTCGTTCAGTACGGAAGTAAAATGATTGAGAACCGCTGCAACTGACATCCATCAGGGAATGGTTGGATGTCATTGATGAAGCAGGCGTTGACAAGTGCATAACAAATTCAGGTTGGAAGCTGTGGTCGCTGGTCGATGTGATGTCCCTTGCCAAGATTGTTGTTAGCTACCGAATATTCAAAATGTTCATGCAAATTTTTTTAAATATTCAATTTTTTGTTTTATCTTTTTTTGTTTTTCTGTTATTCTTCTTGCATTGATGTTTTGTTGTTCTTAGTGTTTTGGACATCATTGTTGTGCCACAATTTCGGAAGTTGCCACAAACATACCTCTACTGGCAATCTGAGTAACATAAATGGAAGTTTATTGTTGATGTTGGCAGTGCTGCTGCAGTTGCATCAATTTTCCAAATGATTTATGATTGTGTATGCGACACAACTTCCTGATGCTGCTACTCTTTGCTGGTCTCGTTGTTTTTTCGTTCATTATTTACACAAAGTACTACCGGAGTCAGGCGGTATCAGCAGTACACATTCTTCAACGAATAATAGCAAATTTGCATTCACCTGCACATCGGTGAGATGGTGAAGATGTGGATTTTTTTTAACAAAACAAAAACAGAGAAAAGTTTTACTTGGGTTTTTCTCTATATGATTTTTCATTTATGACACACTCCTGGATTCAGTTTGGTTGCTATTGCATTGCACAATGTCCTGACATGGCTTATGTGCTGCTGACATGCTGTTAAGGCAACACTTGCAGCTTCACTGAGGGTTTTCAACTTTCATATATCACAATCGCCGCGCTCGAATACCTGCCATATGCTGTGAACTTTGCCATGTAAAATCTGTTTACGATGAAAAGGTAAGAGAAGAGAGGATGTTGGCAAAATGAGACATATTCATAATTTAAAATGTACAGCATTATCTAAAGTAAAATGTATATTTAATGGAAAAATTGTTCACTATTTTGACATTTGAAGTGTTGTTCTATGTGTGTGTGTGTGTGTGGAAGTGTATGTGTATGGTATTATTTTTCAATTTCAAAGTATTTTCAAACAGTTGTGTTGCATGACATGAAAATCCTATGTGAAAAATTATCACAAATCTATGTATGTGAATAAAAAATTATGTGTGTGTGTCATTGTAAGGCTATTGGTTTAGAATTTCCAACAAATACACCACAAAACCCTTTGTTTGGGGAAATGAAACCTTTCGTACATATTATATTGCAATTTTTTTATTAATGAAACAGTGGATTTATGTTGCAATTAATAGAATCATTTTTTGTTATTTAAACGAAATTTAAGGGACCCAATCTATTTTCTTATTTTGAAGATTGTTGTTGCATCTTCGTACCTATGTTGTTTTAATTCATTTTTCCGGGTTCTTGAAAGGAAAGATCACATATTTTTAGAACTATTTCGATATACATTTGTGTTTCGACATAACCTTCATATACAGGTAGCCGTTTTTTTGCTTGTTTTAAAAGAATTTTCTTGGACTTTTTCAGAAGACTTACGACGTAGCACTTATTTTGACATAGCCCGGTATGTTAAGGGTTTTAGTGGGATTTTCCCATCTATTTAGTTGTTATTTGGCACTCTAGAGTCCTGCTAAACAAATTACTTCTTCCCAGAGAATGTTATAGATTATGAGTTAACATATAATGGCCCACATTGTGGATGATTTACAAAGTTCCGACCTGACGTATCTAACTATTTTCTTTTTTATCGTTTGGCAAAAGGTCGTTGCTCGTCGTTGCAAATATGACAATTTTGTGTGTTTACACACCTATTAAACCAGAAATGGACTTATTCGGCTTAAAAACGTCGAAAATTTTTGGGATATTTTAAGGATTTATGTTCAGGCGTACACCTTTTGTAATCAGATTTTTTCCGAATGGAACCAATTTCTGTTAAAATAATGAGGTCGTACCGTTATTTATTGTTTCCAAATTGTTGACATATACATATGAGAGGGCAGTTCGCAAACTTCTTAGCCTAGCACAAAAAGCGCGGTATAAACAGAAAAAAAGTTAAGTTTTTTGGAAACTTTTGTCTCGTATAGATGATATGTGCAAAATCTTAAAATTCAATCAGAAAAAGTTCAGTGACTACGCCAATAGACAGCTGTTGGCGTAGTCACTAAACTTTGTCTGATCCATATTCATATATCGAGCAATAAATTTATTCTAAAACAAAATAACGAAATGACGCCCGGGCGTCAGTAGCATACGTCGTTCTTGCGAATTGTGTAGTCGATCGAACGCGATGTATTTTCTCCAATTATGCTTCTCATTGGTAACGCCATAATCTATGTATAAAATTCTACAACCCACTGTGCTTTTTAGCATCACTGTTGTTAGACAATATGAGTCCTTTTTGTTATAAAAGTTTAGAACATTTTTTACACAACACTTTTGCGGTCATGACATTTAGACGTCTGTTTGTCATTTGTTTGTACGTATATCCGTTTTTCCTATGACCATCATGGTCTGCCAATGCGATGCGAGTGTCTAGATACTTTCCCCACTTATGTTTGACATTTGAAAAGAATGAAAACATTTAGACACAGATTGTTACAATTCAATTTTTACCCTTGTTTTCAACTATTCGTACGCACACACACATACATCAGTAGGCATGCTGTAAAAGTGAACAATTCCTAAGGCGAAGTTGAACACCAACCCTTTTCTAAGGATTTAAGATTAAAAGGATGGGGCATTTTTTCATTTTTTTAATTCTAAACGACCGACACATTTAAATATTATTTGGAGATCTAAGATGAAATCAGGTGATAGTGAAATGAAAATATAGCCTAACAGACTATGATAATCTTTAACATTTTTGCATAAAATTAAAAGATTTGGTTAAGAAATTAATTTCAGTTTCATTTATTCCCTGACTTTACAATTACATTATTGTGCTTAAGGTTAAATTGAATAGGCTTCCCTTCCCTAGCGAACAACGTACATTGGAAAAGTCTCTTCATTTAAAATCCCATTTATTAACATTCCCCAACCAACCAACCAAGCAGCTAAAGGCTGCATTAAATTAATTTGTGTCCATTTAACACAATTGTTAACTAATGCAAATTTTCTTCTTGGAGACTTTTCCTCCCTCCATCTGATAACTTATTGCTGCACTCAATTTGCCACTGAACACAAGACGTTGGAAACTTTCTACTTCAACAAAGTTCCATGGAAGGCATTGTCATGGAATGACACTCACAAAAAGTGACTAAAAGTTTGTAATACTAAAAATATCACAGGGCGGCGAATGTGAACAATGAAAAATGTGACAGGGAACAAAGATGAATCCCACCCACTTATTTACATGCCAAATAAAAAAATGCTACTAAAAGATGACAACCACTTTAGGCATGAATATTCCAGGAATGTTTTATCCTGAAATGAACTGTATTTTCTTCTCCTTCGGTTGATGGTGAACATAAAAAAACATGAAAATTGGTTATCCATATGATTATATTTTATGTTGATCTCGAGGACATGGTTAATGGAGGTATATTTCAAAAAAATATGTGTTATAGATCCATGAGAGAATCACGTACGGAAATGATGTTCCAGTTGGAATATTATGCTCTAAATGTAGGAGTTCTGGGACCAAGTTAGGCTTATATTGATCATTCTTCGTAGGAAGACCGATGTTGATCCTTTATGGAAGATTTTGTTGTCAAATTTGTTGCCAGTATAAATCCAAATTCCTAACAATGGGAATCAAAAATATCATATTAAGGCCAATTTAGTTGACGAACGCGCTTAATTTGTAAAATTACCAAATAATATTACCAAATAAAATGGGGTCTTGGCTGAATTAAGAATCTAAAATATCAAATTACAGCTAATTTGGATTGAAAGCGTACCAGTGGTTTATGAAATATATCAATTTTACATGTAAGAGTTTCGAGGACATTGATTATTATTCTGCAAGAAAAATTTTAAAAAATTAAAAAGGGTGGATCGAAAATGGTGGTCAAAATTTTTAAAAGTTGAATTAATGAAATTATTTTTGAAGACGTTTTGTAAAACTATGGTCACTGATTACAAATGTGAATTCATATTTTAAAAATAAAAAAAAATTATTCCTAAATGGCGAATTAAAAATGGGAAATAATAGATATTTTACTTCTAGCAGTTTTTAGTATAAAAATAGGATGATATTTATACCCTACACAACTATGTTGTCAGTGTATTATAGCTTTGTGCAGCCCCAAAAGTTTGTAACGCGGCGATTGGTCCTATTGGTCCTATTGGTCCTAGACCCACCTTTAAGTATACCGATCGTCATATCTCGACTAGCTGAGTCGATCTATACATGTGTGTCCGTCCGTCTGTCCATTATAATTTGTAAACACGATACAGGCCACAGTTATGGACCAATCTTCAATCTTCAATTTTGCATGTAGGATGGGTTTTGGCCAATGAAGACCCCTATTATTGTTTGGGAAATCGGTTAATATTTAGGGGATGAAATGGACCAAATACTAAATTTTTGTAATTTTTTCTGGTCGCTCTAGAGGCCGCAATAATGGCCCGAACATCGTGAAATTTTGCACGGAGAAGGGGATCGGGAGAAAGAATAAGCATGTCTGTTTTGATAAAGATCGGTCAATATTTAGCGGGTCAAATTGACCATAACTTTTT